AAACTTCATCAAATCGCGTCCTGTAATAGACGTCTTCCCCAAAAACCTTTTAGCCAAGTTATCGACTGCCCTACTCTTCTTTATTTCTCTCTTGCTCTTCTGCATCTGGAAATTCCACATCTTAGAGTGCATCAGCATATTCCATCATCCCAAAACGCAGTGGCTTCCCATCCACACGAACCTATTTCATTTTTTGTGGCTTTTAACTGAGTGCAGGAATATTATGCACTCCCTGCCCCCAGAATGCATTTCCAATTTCCTCCGATGTTCCCAAAATGAATGAAACAACTATTTGAATCGGTCCATACCCTTCTTGTTCCTGTAAAATCTCAAATATTCTCGTAAAACTTGCCAACTGACCTAACTATCACCTTACGGGGATATGGGCTTCGAGGCATTGGGAGTGGGTGTTTTGGCCTTGAGAGGATCAGGAGCCAATGCAAGCTCTACAGAGGCTGTTGTGGTAGGTTCCATGAGGTTGGAAGGCGAGGATGGCAGGAAGTGGAGAATAGGGGGGGCTAGAAGGTTGCCCCGCAATTGCAAGACAGCCTCCAGCCCCTCTATTCCGCCAACTCCTCTCTCCATCCCCAAACTCCCTACAGCCTCCTTGCTTCCCCCATCTTTGGAATTCAAACAAAAGCCACTCCATGCTTGCCAATTGCTGACAAAACGCAACAACAACCATAACAATAAAAAACAACTACATATCCTCCAAATTTGGATTAAATCAATTAAATTTTCTCAATTCAAAACAAACAAGTAGAAAAGTATCATTTATTCGGCGTCCTCCTCTTCAGAACCATTTTTGTTGTCTCTTGTTCTTGTGCCGTCGTTGTTCCTCAGCCTCTGGACCACTTGACTCATTAGATGACCACTAGAGCATTCTTCGACAACCTTGACTAAGATTGAGTGGGGTTGAGTTTTCCTCATTTTTGTGAATATCAGCTATATTTTGTGTAGGAAGCTTTAGGATACAATATTTTCGATAATAAAGGCACTTTCGTCGCTGGAAATCAATAAGAAATCAAAGATGTTCGTCGGTCGTTTTTTGGGTATTTGGCTCGATTAAGCGATTTTGAAGGGTGGGGTTATTTTTAATTTTAAATTTAAACAAACTTCGTTAATTATATGTTACCCACATATGTTAAATCTTTTCAGTTTAACTCGTTTTACATGTTTAATGAATCCTAAGTTGGCCACATCAGCTTTTCTAAATTAAAAAATTCTAAAATATTTTCGGGTCATTTTTTTAAATGCAAACTTGGAGGTCTGGCTAGTTAAATTCCTCGGATGCTCTGGTCCATTGTTTAGAGGTAAAATCTTTTGTGTGATTCATGAGACTGTTTATTAGGCCTTTGTGAACACATTGTATATTCTCATTTGAATTCCAAGTTACATTGACTGGGAGGATGAATCAATACTAGAAAAATTCCCTTTCTTGACAAAATGAGTTGACAGATTTTCTTGACCGATCTAACAAAGGGTCAAGAATTGTAATTCTTGATAGAGTCTTCATGTTTTGGATGATTCTTGACAATTATTAACCGTCAAAATTGATCAAAATAAATTGTACAGTTTTTTTTCTGGCAGTTGTAGTCTATTCCTTTCAGTTTTTATTGTCAAGGATAAGGTTAAAAAAACAAGAAAAAAATTACTACGGCAAAAGTTTCCCACCTCTCAAAAGTCAAAGTTTCACTAATGCAAAAAGTTCCCACCCATTTCGCTATTTTTCATGAAGGCAAGGTTGAAGGTTATAAAATTAAAAGGGTGTGGTGGTTCAATTTCACCATATTCTAATTTCATTCCTTAAATTATTTGGCATATTATTCCAGAATATAGGTTAGCTCGGGAAAGGAAGAAAATAAAATATTTCTATTTTTAATTTACCTGGGTCACATATAATTTATGTTAAAATTTCATGGAATGGAAACCTAACTAAACTATAATTCTAAAAAACTCAAAACAATTTCTACCACCGTACATCAAATTCATACGGGCTTAATCTCTCGTAAGTTACAAAGCCCATGCTCTGCTATAAGTAAGGCCTGAAAGTAAAAAACCCAGAATATCTAGACTTTTGACCATCTCCACCACATTGAAAATTATTGGGATGAATCAAACTTAAAAGTTAAAATCTCTCAAACAATATATTTAAAAGTCTCGATTAATCCTGGACCATTCGACCATGGATATGGAGTGAACCAAGAATAGCTTGGCTTTTGTGGGGGGGCAAACCCACGAGAAAGAATTTTAAGGAAATGAAGTGAATGTAGTTTAGACAATGACAACACTCAGATAAATCACATCCCTCTTTTTAGTGTGGTCCAGCGAGTTCATACTTCATACCCAACTTTAACATATTCTTCTTGAACACTTTTGAATTTTTGTGCTTGGTTTGGACTTTGCAACGGATGGCCTAAGGTTAAGGAAGAGTTTGCATATGACTGCACAGTGGGATTGCATTTGCATTTGCATCAATCATCCAAGACTGATACTTTGAGATTATGGTCTCGCAGCTTTCAACCATTATAGCTCGTACATGCTTTGCTACCAGAAAAGAAACTTTATTAGTATATTGTATATCCATTTATGCAGCTAATCTGATGGTAATGGAGGAGAATGCGCACTTAAGAAGCATTTTTTTTTAATGTAAAAGAGAGAAATGAAAACAACTAAGAAGGAGAGAACATCTCGAGATTATGATTAACTAATTCCTGTCTTAATCATATTAGACAGGTGTTTATAAACTTAAGGCGTCAACTTCTCTTTGGGTTTTAGGTAATTAAATTAGTGGGATTCTGGAAGATGATGCTAAAAACAAGATTAAAATATTGAAGAAATGCTCTCAACTTTTCTACATGTCCTGATCCTCCTATAGGCTCTGCTGCAGCTGGCTCTTTCTCTAGCTTTGTTTTATGAATTTAGTAAGAATTGGGGTGTGGGTATTATTTTTTTGAATTAAATTAATGGAAAAAGAAATGTACAGATCCAATGGACAGAGAATCCAAGAGAGATATTAGAATAAAATAGTAAGGGGAAAATGAAGACGAACCCACATTACATTGAGGTGGGCCAATGAAGTCCAGACGTGTAGGAAACCCAGGCGCGTGAGTGGTGGTGGGACTGGGACTCGCCCTTAAATTTCGAGCTCGTCACCTAAAAGAAAGCGACTGATTGGACTGGATTCTCTTGTTTTTTTCTCTCCCTTTGCTTCGTTGTCCTCTCTTATCCCCCATCCACTTACCATTTTACCCCCACCCCACTCTCCTCTCTTTCTAACCTTTTATTATTTCCTTAATTTAAAAACATATTTTAATAATTATAAAAATTCTCATAAAAATACCACAAAAGTTTCTTAAATAAAATATTACATACCCTCTACCAATATTGCATAATTTTTTTCTTTTTCTTTTTTTATATCAAAAATGTCTTAACTAGTTTATTTATACTTCAACTAATCTCTAAAGACTTTAAAACTATCGATCAGATAAAAAATTTAATGATTATTTTTATTAAAACTTCGAATCTTTTAAATAATATATTAAAAAGTTTCTATCAAACTATTTTATCATATAAAAAATAATTAATTATTAAATAAATAATTATTAAATAAGCTGAGCATGAATGTTTTATGGCCACCTTTAAAAATTGCACTAATTAATTAGTACCATTTCTTATATGTTAATTACGTATTTACGTGGCATAACAAAAAGTCAAAATAATAAATGAAGATGAATTAAATATCAAAGAGTAAATCTGCATTGGTTGTATAAAAGTTTGTATGCATAATTTATACTTACCCACTGTTGGATGAAACTAATCAATATATAATACTTTACTTCTGAATTTAAAATTAAAATAAAAAATAGATCCAAGGTATTATTTATGTGAAAATAACACCTAAGTTTTAGATAACTCACTTACTAGTACTATTCTAATTGCTTGATTTAAGATTTAAAAATAATTTTAAAACTAAATATAATTTAAAATTTAAAATTTAAAATTTAGAGTTATATTTCAATATTTTAAAAATCCTAAATTAATAAAAAAATATTAAACTTTTTTCTCTTTTATGTATTCCCGATTTTTCAAAATGGAACTTGATAATCTATATCAAGCACAAAGACTTATTCCAAGTTCCAACCAATACCATTATATATTGAAGAGTAAATAACTTTTTTCCCACCCAAGGTTTGCCTTAACGACACTTTTCCACCTAAAGAGTTTTAAAATATCACTTTTTCATCGAAAATTTATATTAAATTACTATCTAAAATACACTTCAATTTCTCAATTGACATTTGGCGAGTTATCATGATCTAGGGTAAGATGAGTTTTATAGAACAAAGGTGAGTAGATCAAATGGTGGTGACCGATTGAATTTTTGTCGCTAGAATTAGTCGAAAATCAACTAAAAACCGAAAATTCTAGCTTTACGATGGCTAACAATCGACGATGAATCAAGTGTTGAAGTGAGCAAGGTTTTGTAGAGAGGTAATCGAAAGTTCAAATGGTGGCGATGGAGATAATTTTTGCCGCTGTAACCGGCTTTGGGTAGTAACAGAATATTAACTTTGGGTGAAAAAGTGATATTTTGAAACTTTTGGATAGAAAAATGTCATTAAGGAAAACCTTGAGTTGGAAAAATCATTTACTCTATTTTTAAACAATAATACTACCTTCAAAACCTTTTCATACAAAGTTTCCTTCACAAATTTACGTAGTAAAAGATGGTTGGATAATTTTAAATTTAAAATAAACTTTTACTGAATCATCTTTTGTCCCGTAAATTTATAAGAAAAAACTCGTATAAAAAGATGGTGCGTGTAATATTACATTTTTTATGTATTAATATTAGAATTTGTCGTTTTATCCTCTTTAAGAATAGGTGTTGTACATTAAAAAAGAATGAGGGGTATCAAAGTAAAGTGGGAACACAGAGCTAAGCTTACGTGCACATATGCTGCTGCTCTTATTATAACCCAACAAGCAACAACTTCCTTCTTTAAATCTCTCAAACCAAACCAAACTTTCTCTTCACTCTTCATTCTTCAATCTCTCCCTATCCATTTCTTCATCTTCTCTACTCTCTCTATACTTCACTTCTTCTGAAAAGCTTTCAAGAAACCCCTCAAATTGTTTTCTTCTGAGTGATGGGCACGACCAGCCGCTGTTCCCATACTTCTCACATAACCGAGATCATCATCACCAGCTTCTTTCGTCATAAGCACAATTAAGTTTTTTTTTTTTCTTTCTAATCGGTGTTATTTGACTGTTGGATCATCTGGTTCAAAAAGCTGTAGTCATGGCAGCTTAAGAGAGAGTGATCATTAGTTTGACTTAATGGCGGGTGGGAGGATATATACTAGTGGTAACTGTAGTGGTAGTGGTGATGGTTCAAGTCTTTGTGTTTTGATTCAAAGCCAAAAGGGTGCTCGCTCTTCTCAGCCTCTCGACTCTCCCTTCCTTTCTGCTTCTACTTCTTCTCCTTTTCTGGGTATACTTTTTACTCTTTTCACTTTTTTCTCTGGTAGTGTGTGTTTATGTCTTTTTTTGGTTTGGTTTCTTGGTTTATTACACTGTCCACACTTTTTACTATGTAGATCTTCTGACATGATTATTTCTTTGTTGGAAAAATTGGATTATAGTTTTTTTTTTTTCTTTTAATTAACTTATGAACAATGCAATTTTATTTGTGTTGTATCAGTTTTGACTAAGCTGTGCTTGTTTCGGTTGAAAAAAAATTTCTCGATGAGTTTTTTTTGTTTGAAGTCAATACTTTGATGATACTTTCGAGAGCAATAAATTTTCAGTTTACATCTTATTGTTGTAATAGCGACAATTCTATCTTCTTATCCTTTGGTTTTCCTTCTTGTTTCTCTTCTTCCATCTTGCTTTATTTTTAAATCTTGCTCTGAGTGATCGGTGAGGCCTTCCTTTATGTGGGATTGTCTATGGAATTGCATCAGATGGACTATAGATCAGTAAAGTAGCAATAGAAAAACCGATAAATTAATCATATCTCAATTGTCACAAAGCAGTCAATGTGGATCACAAAGTAGTCAATTCTTTTCATTAACTGGAATAAAAATTATGGAGCAAAAGAGTACTTCTATAAGTACGATAAATACGTAATTTGACAATTACTTGACAGTTACTCCTATTGATCTGATATAAAGAAATTAAGATGTCCTCCTAAAGTGTGCTGTGTCTTGAATTCAGGATCACGATCCATGGTCAGCTTTGAAGATGTTCATCTAGCAAACGGATCCAACAAGTCCTTTTTCCGCCCCTTTGAACACGACGAAAATGGGGATGAGGACTTTGATGAGTATTTTCATCAACCTGAAAAAAAGAGACGGCTTTCAGTCGATCAAGTTCAATTTCTTGAGAAAAGTTTCGAGGTAGAGAACAAGCTTGAACCCGACCGAAAAGTCCAGCTTGCAAAGGACCTCGGCTTGCAGCCTAGGCAGGTGGCAATATGGTTTCAAAACCGCCGGGCTCGCTGGAAAACAAAACAGCTGGAGAAGGACTACGACATATTGCAAACGAGTTACAATAACCTTAAGGCAGATTATGACAACCTCCTTAAGGAGAAGGATAAACTGAAAGCTGAGGTAAATTTCAATTGGTTCCTCAGAGTTCTCTATAAATTAATTTGCTTTGAGTTATGATTATACTTATGGGATGATTATGAAATTTTTCAGGTGGTTATCCTCACAGACAAGCTACATCTAAAAGAGAAAGAGAGTGGAAAGACAGAATTGTGTAATGTAAACAACACATTGTCACAAGAACAACTACCACAAAAGCCTATTGCTGATTCTTCATCTGAGGGTGAAGTGTCAAAAGTTTCAATTGTGGCTTGTAAACAAGAAGATATCAGTTCGGCAAGAAGTGACATCTTTGACTCAGATAGCCCACATTACACTGATGGGGTTCATTCTTCACTGTTGGAGACTTGTGATTCATCTTATGTTTTTGAACCTGACCAATCCGATTTGTCACAAGATGAAGATGATAACTTGAGCAAGAACTTCTTGCCTCCATACATCTTCCCAAAGCTTGAAGAAGCTGATTATTCAGACCCGCCCACGAGTTCATGTAACTTTGGATTTCCCATTGAAGATCATTCCTTTTGGCCCTGGTCTTACTGATCAAGTATCCTTGGTATATATATCTTTGATGTGTTTTTCTAGTTTCTGTTTAAAGCTTGTTACAGTGTTAAGTATAAATAAGAGAGCAAATAAAATCAATGGCACCCCAATGCAGAATTTGGTTGTAGCTGGAAATCAATATATGGAGGTTTTGCCCCGCCTGTAATTTTGTCATCTAGGGGTTCTTAGAGTTGAATGAAATTTCTTCTGTTCAGAATGTAATTAAATAATGTATTTAATTTGCAGAAATTATATCTTTTCTTTTGTCAATTTGTATTTCTAAGGAAGTAATAATCTGTGTGCTGCTCAAAACTGCGGGAATACTTCTCTAAGCTAGAGATGACTTTGAGAGAATCATACATAAATACATAATGTTCTGGCAAATGTAATGAAAATATCAGTCTCTTTTAGTTTTATCCATAAAGAATCAAAAATGGCCCTGAAGCTTTGTGGAGGATCAGTTCCGTATTGGCCATTGCTTCATGGGAAAAAATCTCATCAAATTAAGGACTCAATCAAAACACTTCATATTATCATACATTCCAATCAACATTACTCAGCGGGTCCGATTCAACCAGATCTGCAACCCAACCTCTCATCAAACTCATGGTCCATATATATATATATAATGACGTTCTCATTGTCTTTTCAGATAACTACGAACTTAGCCAAAACTGGGGTAACGTCCTCAGCAAATATTTTAGGGAATTATTGATAATCAAAGTTTACAGAACAAGATTATAATAAAAGCAGCAGCAGACTCATATATTTATTTAATTAAAGGGTTACATCATATTGTAGTTTTTTGACAGAAACACGGGATTTATAATAAACTTGACAGAATTCGTGATATTATATAAGTAACCATGCGTTTACTATATCAAAGGAAACCATGTTTAATGGTTGGTGATAGAAGAGAATGTTTGGCTAAGTCAGAATGTAAAGGAGTGGTCATAAATTGCATGTTAAATATGCATACGAAAGCCCTACTGTTCCATGCGTCTCCGTTACATTTGGTGTACCCTCTTTGTCAAACCTTGAATGGTGATTTATGCACAGAGTTTCAACGCTTAACTTTTCCATAAACTCACTATCTAAATGGAATTCATTAATTACACGTGTCTGTCGTCACTAATATATCAACTTGATTACATATATTGTGGGTTTAACAGTACATAAATAATAAATATGGATAATATTACTGTTATTAATTCTTTTTATAAATACTATATAATAGTTTGTATAATACGTTTCGTTTATCCAACAATAAACCTTATCTAATAAATTGATTAATTTCAAATTATCACCAAAATTACAAACGGGGAACTTTTCCTTTTGTAACTTTCTCTTTACGGCATTTTTAGATGGGGCCACTGGGAGAGCGCCAAATGTCTCATCTTCTCGAAGGACAATGCTCTTTTATTTTCCAGATTTCCTACCGACCATCTAAAACCCACATTGATGGGGTTTCGAGGAAAGCCATACACGTGTACGAGTGTGATGGAAAACTGTAAAAAAAAGAAAGAAAGCCTATTCTCGTCAAAGAAACATCACCATCAAGACAGCGTCCACCACCAAGCAAACTCCAATGGAATCTCCGACTGCAAATGGGCCCCCCCCAACAAGACGTGAACATTAAATGCAACGTGGCATGTGATCTGCGAATCTAAAGGTTGAGATCAGGTCAAAAAGAGTAGGACCCACCACTGATGGTTATTTTATTTAAAAATAAAAGTTTGTTCTCTTATAAGAAATACAGATAAGCATTGGGATGGGAAAGTGGGGCCCCGTTGACAGCAACAGCAGGATGATGTCACACGTGGAGTAGCTTTCTTTGGGCCCACAACACACGTGCTTATCAGGTGTCCATGTCGTAGCTTTTAAAATATCGCCCACAAGAACCCTTTGTAAATTTTAGTAGTACAAGACTGGACTGCTTTTATTTATATTTTATAAAAGAGTAAACGACTTTTTCTCACCGGAGTGGTTTATGACATACCTTTGAAATATTTTTTATTATTTAAATTTATATTCTATTTTTTATTCGCATAGTTGCTCTTACACTATAACCCTTCTCTATTACCATTATTATTCGTCAAAATCCTTCAAACCCTATTCTTCCCGATTTTATCAATTATCGGCAATCAAACAATTAAAGTTTCTATAACTCCCACTCCCAAATTAAATTTTGATCAATCTCAACCATCAAAATTCAATATTTTACACTAAAAGATTCATCGGCTTCCTATATTTAAAAACCTTAATAATCTAGACAGAATTTGATTTTTGTTTACCTTCAAAATATAAATTTAGATAGTAAAATAGTATTTTAAAAATGAATAGGTGAGAAAATGTCATTAAACCATTACTTGGATAGAAAAAAATGTTTAACTCTTTATCAAATTTAATTTCCTTCTCTTAAAACCTTTTAATTTAATTTTGAACATCTACAATTGTAGTTGAAATTGGGTTAAGATGGTTGGTGTTTGGTAGAGTTTCAATTAGATTGCGGATCTTTAATGCTCCAATCAACTTCTCTAAAGTTCTATCAAAATGTTGAGGTCACAGTTCACACATTGGATTTTGATAGAATTATAAAATATCATAAATAGTTTGATATATATTTTCAAAGGAATTTTGTAAGCTTTTGAAGACAAACAGGTTCTAAACGTGTACTTCGTTAAAAACACTATGGATTTGGGTCCATGAATGGTAGGGACGATTGATTCTCAATTTTATTTAGAAATTCGGGAATTACAACCAGATTTTCAGCAAAAGTAAGTCCACCCAATAAAAGTAACATCATTGTGAATGCCATTCCAAGGCTCTAAAGTGTCTGTCCCTAAACCCTCAAACTACAATATTGTTTCTTTACTTTCCCCATTATCACAACCTAACCAAGAACCAAAATTATTTAATGGCCAAGGATCTTTCATAAACAATAAACAATGATCAACCAGTTGGCTTGAGCGTACTGCAGATGAGGCCTAATTTGGAAGATCCGCAAGTCGCTTTTATGACTAAACAATGAAGCCTTTCAAGATTCAAAATTTCAAGTTCTCCTTCAAGTAACTTACCACCTCTTGCTGCACCAGTTCAAAGACAAAACACATTCAAGTTTCAGCTATTAATAACATAATTTTGGTCATTAAAGACTATCCCAATTTTGAATATAATTTAACTTCATTTAGACTTTGCCTATAACATCTTCCGTTTTGTACGTATATATGTCAAGTACTTTAGCTCTAATACTTCTGTAAGAAAAAAAAAACTTGAATATCTGTTGCAAATTCAAGTCTCAAGATGGGTATTCTTTATTTTCTGACTCCTAATTGCAATCAAATTGAATTTTGTTAGAAGGAAAGGAACTTACAATCAAGCAAAGGATGATGCAGCCAGCAGCTCCAGGGAACAAAGCGTACCAAAAATTCAATCGATGCAATTTAACCCCATCAATAAAGAGTAGTGGCAGGCTTGCAGCTGTAATATCAATTCGATTCACATTTTAATACTTGATATATAAAATTATGAAGGCACATTTTTAAAGGAATCAAATAGTCAGTGAGGGAACGCATAAATTGAGAGCAACCTGGTGGATGTGTTGACCGAGTGTAGATCATGAATGCAATGGCAGCAGCAAGGCCAGCACTCCTAGCAAGCCAACCAGGTCCAAATATAGAGAATGCCAGAACACCGATGGCTGCACAACCAATCTGAGCCATGAACATATTGTACTTCTGCAGAATTTTGGGCACCGGTAAATTAGAATATAAGTTTAATTAAACATCAAACTTTTCTAAAAAGCATGAAACTCTCCTAAGTTGTCTGTTAATTAAATCCTTGTTTTAATTGAAAAAAAAAAAAAAAAAAAAGAACGAAACTCTTCACATTATTTGAACAGAGACAGGGATCTCAACAAGAATTCAACTTAAATATTTAAATGAATTACATGATCTTGAGCAATCTGATATCCAAATTTATTTTCTACCAAACAGGATTTAAACCGGGTTTAATATCAAGGTTACAAGAAGTTGTCCCAACAAATTACATGATAAATTAGACCTGTTAGATTCAAATATTAATGCTAGACCATTACCTAAAACTTAAGTTTTTTAATGGAATATTTACCTAACATGATATCAAGATTCAATAAAAAACAACTTAATCTTAGTTCTGGATTTTGATTCTTCTGATCCAACTCAATTGTTGAGGTTCATTGGACCGAATTAGTCCCAACAAATCTGTTAAGAGTTTAAAAATGAACTCACATCGCATAAAAGAAAACGTATTAAACTTAAAACTGATGTTCATCTATTGCCTGATACCTTAAAGGCTTAAACCGTATTCACCAATGGTGTACAGAGTCAAACCTCAAAAAATTGTTTTTGCACCAATTTCTTAGTAAACCGCCAACTCCACGAGGATTATTATAAAAAGGTTTGAGGATACTTGAAGCATTGATTATCAGGATACTGGAGAATAAAAAAATTGTAAACTGTTTCTATGGATAAAGCATTTAAGAACAAAATATTTAAAAACTAAACAGAGCCTCAGAGAAGACAAGAAGTACTAAAAGTTCCAGTGATCAGCTTCTATTTGGTATTGTCACTAAAGGTTTGAGTTGTATTTTCCCATCTATACACCATCAATAAGACTAGTAAAAATAATCAAATCATATTCTATGATACTAATTTAGTTATTTGATGAAATAACATTCCGTACTCATAATGCATCCTATACATTACATGGATCACATACTTCACTAAATGATAGACAACATTTAAGATTGAATTTTTAGTGTATAAATTGTTTGTTTTGGAATCAACCCACATGGATTTGTTTTTGAGTTTCACATAAGCATTCTTTACCTAAAATACTTCCATTGAATGGAAACGACCCAAGATTTATAAACTCGATCACTCTCGTATTCATTAACAATGTAAAATGCGGCAAATCTCCACCTTGTGGATCTCACCTCCTCATGAGATTATCACATTGTTCCATTGGGTCATTAGCCTGCTCTGAGATCAATTGTAACAACCTGAATTGTTACATTTAAGTTATTATATAACTCTAGTTTCCCAATTATCAAGCTTGTAGGGTATGAAAATAGTTGTCAGTTCCATTATTGAATAAGTGAATTCACCCATAGAAGGCCTTTCAAATCTTTTGTACAAATCTTAAGGGTTACTAACTGAAATAACATAAGTAGAAACTTTCAACAACAAATATGAAGAAAGACATGTCGTTTATATAGTAGTAAGAAATATGACATGTTGTGCAGATTAAAGATATGGATATGACATGTCATGTCGTGTCCTGTCGAAGGTAGAACAAAACCAAAACCAAGTACAAAGATGAATAGCAAGCAATGCCTCGGGCTTCTGAACAGAGCAATTTTATTTTAAGAAACATAAAGCACCTTGTAGAATACGGCATACATGATACAAATTAATTCAAATATAGACCCAAGGAGATAAAGAAAGTAATAGTACCCGAGCAGCAGGGGTAGATGGAGTGGCAAAAAGCACCGCACAGACAGCCCCCAGCGGAGCAATTGTCATTGAAAGTCCTTTTGGAGCCAGCATTTGATCCATCTTTCCCAGTATTGCCATGGCCACAAATGCTCCTGTTTTCTAACACACGTTAGTACCAATCTTCCGGACTTCAATCTTTTTTTTCTTTCACCAATTTAACATAATATTCTATGTCTAATTTAAGTTAGGAAAGATAAAAACATATCCTAGCAATGCAAATTGAAGAATTGCCTATAATTTTTGTCAAAACCCAATAAAAATACAGTGTGCAGTAACATGTACATTGCTAAAGAATAGATGAGTTTAGTCCGTCTAACCTGCAGAAGGCCAAAGGATGTCACTGAGAGAAGGATCAGAAGAAGCCTTTTGTGGTTTCCAACTATCCCAGAGTGGCGCAGCCATGTTGCTTGATGCCACAATTCCATGACCAAAACTTTTTCTTGTACCTATTCTTCCTCTTGTCACTACATTTCTCTCCTNGTTCCAGTGATCAGCTTCTATTTGGTATTGTCACTAAAGGTTTGAGTTGTATTTTCCCATCTATACACCATCAATAAGACTAGTAAAAATAATCAAATCATATTCTATGATACTAATTTAGTTATTTGATGAAATAACATTCCGTACTCATAATGCATCCTATACGTTAGATGGATCACATACTTCACTAAATGATAGACAACATTTAAGATTGAATTTTTAGTGTATAAATTGTTTGTTTTGGAATCAACCCACATGGATTTGTTTTTGAGTTTCACATAAGCATTTTTTACCTAAAATACTTCCATTGAATGGAAATGACCCAAGATTTATAAACTCGATCACTCTTGTATTCATTAACAATGTAAAATGCGACAAATCTCCACCTTGTGGATCTCACCTCCTCATGAGATTATCACATTGTACCATTCGGTCATTAGCCTGCTCTGAGATCAATTGTAACAACCTGAATTGTTACATTTAAGTTATTATATAACTCTAGTTTCCTAATTATCAAGCTTGTAGGGTATGAAAATAGTTGTCAGTTCCATTATTGAATAAGTGAATTCACCCATACAAGGCCTTTCAAATCTTTTGTACAAATCTTAAGGGTTACTAACTGAAATAACATAAGTAGAAACTTTCAACAACAAATATGAAGAAAGACATGTCGTTTATATAGTAGTAAGAAATATGACATGTTGTGCAGATTAAAGATATGGATATGACATGTCATGTCGTGTCCTGTCGAAGGTAGAACAAAACCAAAACCAAGTACAAAGATGAATAGCAAGCAATGCCTCGGGCTTCTGAACAGAGCAATTTTATTTTAAGAAACATAAAGCACATTGTAGAATACAGCATAAATGATACAAATTAATTCAAATATAGACCCAAAGAGATAAAGAAAGTAATATTACCCGAGCAGCAGGGGTAGATGGAGTGGCAAAAAGCACCGCACAGACAGCCCCCAGCGGAGCAATTGTCATTGAAAGTCCTTTTGGAGCCAGCATTTGATCCATCTTTCCCAGTATTGCCATGGCCGCAAATGCTCCTGTTTTCTAACACGCGTTAGTACCAATCTTCCGGACTCCAATCTTTTTTTTCTTTCACCAATTTAACATAATATTCTATGTCTAATTTAAGTTAGGAAAGATAAAAACATATCCTAGCAGTGCAAATTGAAGAATTGCCTATAATTTTTGTCAAAACTCAATAAAAATACAGTGTTTAGGAACATGTACATTGCTAAAGAATAGATGAGTTTAGTCCGTCTAACCTGCAGAAGGCCAAAGGATGTCACTGAGAGAAGGATCAGAAGAAGCCTTTTTTGGTTTCCAACTATCCCAGAGTGGCGCAGCCATGTTGCTTGATGCCACAATTCCATGACCAAAACTTTTTCTTGTACCTATTCTTCCTCTTGTCACTACATTTCTCTTCTTATTAAAACTGAAACCCAGAGATCTCTCTAAAACCAACCCCTTCTTTCTGTTCAAAGGATCATTGAGTTTTGAGAGAATAAATGAAGAATACGAATGCAATGATGTTGCCGCAGGTGTTGAAGCTAATGTGGGTATATTAGAACAAACATTATGATGAAAATAACTTGCCCTGAGTTGTGTACCCATATCTTGAATTGATCCTTAACAACACCTTAATTTCTCTGCAATACTTAGGTGGATATTTTCCCAAGTCATGTCAGACTGAAAGACATAGTTGTTACATAAGAGAAGTAGAGGACCGTTGAGATAGGGAGGATGTTAAAGGTGGCTTTTTAAGACGTCGAAAGGGCGTTGGATAAGGGCATCCAGCTCAGAGGCTATTCTCCACTGGTTTTTTTTTTTTTTTGGGACTTATAATAATATGTTAATGTCTTTTTGTCTTCACATAACAACTGAGTTTGACGGGCGGACATTGATTTTGCCATTTGTGAGCTCGGCTTCCTCTTCCAAGGTAGCGATGTAAAAGGGTCCTGGTGTAGAATGGCTGCTTTGATATCGTTGACTTTGGGGATGAATTGAACAAAATTCCTGCTTTTGGCCACCAGCAGTTTCAACGCGAAAACGGTTCGCCGCGGTCACTAACTCAATCTATTGTGAAACAACAAAAGGTAAGGTGTTAATATTTGGTCCGTGATGAGTTTTCACAAGATTATTGAATTTTATTCTTCATCCCTGACACATATCAAATTATGTACTAGTGTTTTATTCCTTCATTCTTTTTGGGGTCCCCTTCAATGCAGCAGAGGGTTAACGAAGCAAGTTGCAATCAAGATTTTGGACTCTCAATTCCAGGCTCTGAGTCGGAGGGGTCGGTCTTGTTCAATTAGGTGCTGAAAGTTGATGTCTTTGATTGCTAAGAGGCAAATCTTTGGCTAGGAAATTAAGCTGTTACAAATTTGTGGCCTTTCGTTTTTGTAATGGTCAATTTAATCAAGTTGTTTTGATGGATTAGAATACCATTCCTCCAACACAAAGTGGGCAAGTGGGGAGTTGTCTGAAGCCATGCAATCTGTTGACCAACGAAATAACTTCCTATTTCTGCTAAGTCAAGATTTGAATATAATCTAAATCATTCTACTTTATGTACCTCATACTCATAGTATATGAGGAAGATTCTTTGAATATTCTATGCCTAGTCATACCTTTAAATCATTCTACATTTTTATATTTCATTTAACACAAATGACAGTTTTTATGTAATCTTATAAGCCCTTCTTCTAAGTTCTACCTATTGAAACCAATACCCAAAACCCAAAAACTCTCAACTTCAACTATCCTCCATTCACATCCAACCGTGGGCTTCTTCTGTTGGGCTTTATTGGTATTAATTATTGTTTAATTATCCTGGACCATATTTAGTTTGTCCGTTCATCATTTGGAAGAGAGTAATGTTATATTCATACCACTTTTTTACACCATTTTTATTATATTATGATGTGACATATGTCACAATCACACAAATTCTATTATATTTTAAATTAAAAATTTGTGTGGTTGTGGCATATGCCACGTCATGATATAATGAATATGGTATAAAAGAGTGGTGTAAATATAGTATTACTCTTTGGAAGATGCAAAGAAAAAACCCTGACGTCCTCCACTTATAGCTCTATTACTATTTCAGGATACATTTGGAAGATGTCAAGAAAAAAACCTTGACGTCCATCCCTACCCGTATAAGGTAGGATACCGGTCAGGTATAATATTTTAGATCGTTTAAATCGACCTGTTTTGAACTCATACCCAAACCATCCGCCCGTTTTACTAAATCTACTTAAACTTAGACTTAGTAAAATGGGTATGTACCCATGGGTTGACCCATACCCACCGAATACATATAGGGTATGGGTCCGCCTTACAGACCTGTGGAGATTGGAACCTTACCCATCACTTAATTTCGTTAATTGATATAAAATCTTTTATGTAAAGTCCAAATTATCCTTAACAACAAAAGTGAAAAAGAAAATATAAAAACTAATAACTTTTTCTCTTTCATAAAATGAGATAATCATTTTCTTCCCGATTAAACCTAGCGACTAAAAACAAGCAGAAGATACACTTGATTAAAATAAAATACTTTTTCAAACACTTGGTGCATGGAAATAACATTACATATTAAGAACAACTTAAATTAGGAGCAATTAGCCGATTCATTGCCGATTTACAAAGCCCCCGTCAACAACCAAGTCATGCCCGGAGACAAGCTCAGAGTCTTTACACGCAAGAAACAATACAGCATCCGCCACGTGTCTGGCTCTCAACGCTTCTCCTTTCAAAGGCATGAGTGGCTCATACAGCTTATCAACCTCCTCCATAGACTTCCCATACGACTGACACGTCAATGGAGTAGCCACCCCACACGGTGAAACGCAGTTCACCCTAATCCCATGCACCCCCAGCTGCACACTCGCTGATCGAACCAATCCAAGTACTGCATGCTTCGACATATGATAATCAGTCCGCCTTTTCCCTCCGTGACTCGCAGCCACACTCCCCGTGCACACTATACTCCCCTTCACGTGTCCCTCTACCATTGCACGTGCCGCGTACTTTACACAAGCTGCCATGCCACGTACGTTGACCTCGAACAAACGGTCAAACTGTGAAAAGTTAAGATCGAGAAGGATCTGATCGGAGCCACTAATAATCCCAGCATTGCTAAACATAATATCTAGCTGACCGTAATTTTGAACAGTTGAATCAACTAATGCTTTCACTTGTTCCTCATCGGTAACATCACAGTGTAAATACTTACATCTGTGAGTTCCAATCGAAATGGCTACTCGTTGGCCTAGTTCATCCTGGATATCGGCAATAACGATCATGCGGGCACCGTGATCTGCGAAAAGACGTGCCGTGGCTTCGCCAATGCCGCTTGCGCCTCCGGTGATAATTGCTACTTTGCCTTCAAGTTTGCTGCGCTGCATTGAAGACTCAGCCATTATTATTGTAAATTATCAAGGAAATGCACGTAAACTAGGATTTAGATATATAGAAGAAGGAGATCGGCATGGGGGCTTTGTTTCCCGATTTGTGGGCCTACCGTTTGGGTCCATCTCACCTAACCATAAACTTATGATGCACATGTTTTGACATTCTCTGAAAAAATATCAGATTTAGGGTGAAAATTGTGTGGAATCTACCAGGGCAGCCGGCAGCGTAAGTTAGCGTTAGCGACGGTGATGGGGAAATTGTTTCACTTGAGCGCGTTTATTTCGTTTTGCGGAACAAAAGAATGTGATTACGATGTTGTAATATTCTAAATTTCTAATTAGTTGTGATTAAGAATATGATTATGATGTTGTAATGTTGTTAATTAAGAATGTGATTATTGTGTTAATTATTAAATAATGTTTTAATATATCATTTTATTTGCATTTGTAAAAACTATTATCTTATTATATCAAATAATACAAATTTACATATGTTTATTTAGAGTTGACATTTTACAAATTTACATATGTTTATTAAGATTTGACATTTTACAAAATTAAATATTTTACATAAATCTTTTCGTACGTGAACTACTTGAGAGGAATAATTAAAAGAGTATTTATTTGTGAAGTAAACGATTTTTCCCACCCAAGGTTGTCTTAATGATACTTTTCCACCCAAAAAATTTCAAAATATAGTTTTCCACTAAAAGTTTATATTGCGTTAATATCCAAAATACACTTCACTTTCTCAACTAGTGTTCGGCAAGTTACTAGGAGATAAGGTAAGAGGGATTTTGTAAAGTGGAGGCCGATGGATCAAATGGTAGTGACTGATTGAATATTCGTTAACGAAATTGGAAAGAAATCAACTAAAAATAAAAAACCTTAGCTTTGCGATAGTCGAATAATCAGCAAAAAACCAGGGTTAGAGTGAGAGTGGTTTTGCAGAGAGAATACCAGAGGTTCAAATGTTGGCAACAGAGAGAATTTTCGCTACCAGAATCGATTTTGGATAGTAACGGAATATTAATTTTGGATGAGAAAGTAGAATTTTAAAACTTTTTAAATAGAAAAGTGTCATTAAAGCAAACCTTGGGTGGGAAAAAGTCGCTTACTCTTATTTGTAATACAAACACAACTACTTACACCGTTGGATTATTAATTGAAATAACAAGTCACAAGTTGTGTTAAATTAAAACTGAAGTTACAACTTTTTATTAGTTACATAATATAACATTTTGATGATATAAATTGATATGTTGATTTCATTTAAGATTTGTAGTCATCTGTTATGTCATTAAATAGGTATTTTTTGTACAATCACGCTATAAATAACTTATTCATTTTTATTTTTTTATGGTACCACAAAAAGAAAAATAATATATAAATATATCATGAAAAATAATATTTGGGTAATTTTAATTAATATGAAATATATATGAAGCACATGAAAACTTTAGCTTGATAATCATGTCCTTTTTTAATGTAAATTCAATCACCACATTCAATGCGCAGTATAATATCTCAACGAGTAATGCTACAGTTACCGACTGGTGTGTACCGATTTTGTGCACCGAATGATGTGGCACAATCCTGACCGTTTATTTATTATCAGTTAATATTAATCAACGGCCAGGATTTTACCACGTCATTCAGTGCACAAAATCGATACACATCAGTCGATAAGTCTATCATTTTCCTATCTCAACTAGCAAATATTTGAAATTCCCAAAGAATTCAGTATTCGTGGAAATCATGTTATAGCAGCCCGCCCTTTTTTGAGAATGCAACAACTCATAAATATAATATCCAACCTGCCAACAAAAAAAAAAAAGGAGCCAAAAATTGAACACCTTTTCACTACCCTTTCCCTGCTGGTTGTCGACCATTTCAACAATATGAGGTAAGACATCTATATTTGAGGTTAATTAAATTCTTAATTAAGTTTAGATCAGAAAAAAAGATTATTGTAATATTACATTTTTTTTATTAAATTTAGTATATAAACTTATTTTTCTTTTGTATGAGTGCGATAACAAATTATAGACAAATACATTTATTTTAATGAAAATATGAGATGATATTTCAATAATATTAACTCAGTTGAACGTAACCTGTTTGTTGGGTAAACTAAGGTAAATTGCACGTGTTTTCTTTCTCTTTACTAGATTGTTATTTGTAATTGCTTACTTGTTTGATTTCGTATTACTCTCTAGATTGTTTCATCTCCAAAATCAAAACTATTCAGCTCCTAACCTTGGTACTTCTCATCAGAGTTCAGACGCCCAACTTAGAGTGATTATTCTTTTTCCTTCCAGGACAACTCTTAACTCTAGTTTTCGGAATCCTTACTCCTTTAAGTGATAGCTGTTTATTTATTGAGTTAACAACATGTTCCCACCCAAAAAATAGCCCATTGACAAATTCATACCCACCCACATTTTAAATACCATTTCAGCACCCAAAACATAATTTTATTAGTAAATTTTTTTGTCAGAAGAGTAAAATGGTCCAAAGCCCATAATTAATGAGGACATAATGGTCACCAAACAATGGCTACCAAAGAAGAAGAATGATGCACATTAGCAACGTCAGATCCGGCGGGTTTTTGCCATTTTTCGGCCGATCCTAGCGTTCAAAATCACTTTCGACATCACTTAGAGAATCCCCATCACCTCCTCTACAAATTCCAAGCCTCCATTTGCCATCATCACTCACCATTTCCTGCATTAGGCGATTTATCCCTTCATCTGTTGCATCCTCTAGTGCTTTGAACGATGTAACATACTCATTTCCGGCTTCACCCCTAGAAGCGGTGAAGAAGGGAGGGATGACTCCCTGCAATAAGAAAAAAATCAATCAAATTTAAGCCACATTTAAAAGCAAGTGCATATTCAAAAGATTAATCATTTAATCTTACCCAAGCCGCTTGAATTTCCATGTTTATTTTGTGGTAATCCCAATGGGTACACTTCTCGATGTGCCACCGCAACATCCTAGGAAATTGTAGTCGTTCATTCGAAGTCTTCATCCTTCCCCCCGCCTTATCCAGGACAGGGATGACCTCATACATCAAAGCCTACATTGTAAAAAAATAGTTTATATCATAATTAAAACACATATAATACAAAAAATATAACAAAAAGCTATTAATATTTATGCATTGCCCATAGGAAGCTAAACAAATTGTACGTGCTCGGTCTATTTTTCTCGACAGATTGGCAATGGTTTAACGCCATGTCTTTTCCTTGCAGGGAGTCCATGGTTAGCTGAAATGATACTCGTCCGCACGGATAAGCATTAAAGAAGTCCATGTTGCTTGCAAACTTCACCCAATCCGTATTAACAGCTTTTGTTGAGTTAGAAGCCATTAGGATCGAATGCATGAACTATATCAGGTACATCTTGAACCTCTCTGAAGAGGTATATCCACATTCTCTTAACCTCTCATCTAAATCGCGTCCTGTAATAGACGTCTTCCCCCCAAAAACCTTTTTAGCCAAGTTATCGACTGCCCTACTCTTCTTTATTCTCTCTTGCTCTTCTGCATCTGGAAATTCCCCACATCTTAAGCTTGTCATCAGACATATTCCATCATCCCAAAACGCAGTGGCTTCCCATCCACCACGAACCATATTTCATTTTTTTGTTGGCTTTTAACTGAGTGCAGCAATATATAATGCACTCCCTGCCCCCAGAATGCATTTTACCAATTTCCTCCGATGTTCCCAAAATGACTGAAACAACTATCTTTGAATCGGTCCATACCCTTCTTTTGTTCCTGTAAAATCTCAATTATTCTCGTAAAACTTGCCAACTCGACCTAACTATCACCCTTACGGGGATATGGGCTTCGAGGGCATTGGGGAGTGGGTGTTTTTGGCCTTGAGAGGATCAGGGAAGCCAATGCAAGCTCTACAGAGGCTGTTGTGGTAGGTTCCATGAGGTTGGAAGGCCGAGGATGGCAGGAAGTGGCAGAATAGGGGGGCTAGAAGGTTGCCCTGCAATATGCAAGACAGCCCTCCAGCCCCTCTATTCCGCCACCTCCTACCATCTCCATCCCTCCAACCTCCCTACAGCCTCCCTTGCCTTCCCCCATCCTTTGGAATTCAAACAAAGCCACTCCCTCATGCTTGCCAATTGCTCGACAAAACGCAACAACAACCATAACAATAAAACCAACTACATATCCTCCAAATTTGTATAAATCAATTAAATTTCTCTTCAAATTCAAAACAACAAGTAAGAAACGTATCATTTATTCACCGGCGTCCTCCTCTTCAGAACCATTTTCTGATTGTTCTCTCTGTTCTTGTGCCGTCGTTGTCTCCTCAGCCTCTGGACCACCTTGACTCATTAGATGATCCACTAGAGCATCTTCTTCGACAACCTTTGACTAAGATTTCGAGTGGGGTTGAGTTTTCCTCATTTTTGTGAATATCAGCTATTATTTTGTGTAAGGAAGCTTTAGGATCAAATATTTTTCGAAAATAAGGCACTTTCGTCGCTGGAAATCAATAAGAAATCAAAGATGTTCGTCGGTCGTTTTTTGGGTATTTGGCTCGATTAAGCGATTTTGAAGGGTGGGGGTCATTTTTAATTTTTTAAATTTAAACAAACTTCCGTTAATTATAATGTTACCCACATATGTTAAATCTTTTCAGTTTAACTCGTTTTACATGTTTAATGAATCCTAAGTGTGCCACATCAGCTTTTCTAAATTAAAAAAATTCTAAAATATTTTCAGGGTCATTTTTTTAAATGCAAACTTGGGAGGTCTGGCTAGTTAAATTTCCTCGGATGCTCTGGTCCATTGTTTAGAGGTAAAATCTTTATGTGTTTGATTTCATGAGACTGTTTTATTAGGCCTTTGCTGAACACATTGTATATTCTCATTTGAATTCCAAGTTTCACATTGACTGGGAGGATGAATCAATACTAGAAAAATTCCCTTTCTTGACAAAATGAGTTGACAGATTTTCTTGACCGATCTAACAAAGGGTCAAGAATTGTAATTCTTGATAGATTCTTCATGGTTTTGGATGATTCTTGACAATTATTAACCGTCAAAGATTTGATCAAAAATAAATTGTACAGTTTTTTTTCTTGGCAGTTGTAGTCTCATTCCTTTTCAGTTTTTAATTGTC